CTGATGTAATCCGACAGGAAATGAAGTTTAAGTGTGTGTCTCACCCTGCCCTTTAAAGCAGAAACCGAGTTAATGAGTTTTGAATGGGCGTCAGGGTGCAGCAGTAGAGATGTGTGACAGTGCGATTACAGACACACTCAGCTGAGAGAGAAAACCCTGCGGCCACGCTCACACACACACGCCTCCAGGCCTGACGCCAACACGCGGGCGTTACATTACCCATAATTACACTCGGCCGCCCGCCTCTGTCTCTCTGGAGCTTTTCAGAGAGAAATAAGAGATGCTGAAAGTTCCAGAAGGATAAAATTACAAACTGAAAGTGGCAGCTCTCTCCTCCCTCGTTCATTTGAAACAGACCCGCCGTCTCAGTCCCCTTCTGGGCTCATTTTCACGCCCATTCGCAGAGATCAGGTGAGCCAGTGTGGCGTTTTCCCACCGAACCTGTAAGTTACATCTGCAACTTTCCAGATTCCAGATGCATTTTGTTGAAATACCAGCCGTTGAGGAATTTTCAGCCCACAGCTTTTGCACGCCTCACCCACTCGGGAGGCTTGTGTAGATACAGGGCAGTTCAAGTTCAATTGTGTGAATGTAGTTGTGTTAGACGGACTGTAGCGTGACATCACACAAGTTATTCTCTGCATTTAAAGGCTAATTACTTATCAGACATGCTCAGTCACCCTCAACACAATAAAACACTCGAGCTAGAACCTGTAGTGCTAGAATAGAAGAAAGCCAGTGCTGACAGGTACAAGCACATTCACAGTGATGTAACCAGATTAAAATGAGAAATGATATGAGATCATGTTTAACTCTTAAATAAAAAACAAGAAATCAAAATGACAGTTCTGTGGCTTACTTTATCTTATCTTTGAGTTGAATCTAGTGTGCCTCTGTTATTTTAATATTATTTGTATACTCAATTTATGGCTTTTATTTTTTGTATACATTTTACTTTTAATTTTAACTTTCATATATATATATGTACACACACATATATGTGTGTGTGTGTTCAGAATTATTTGCCCCTTGGTAAATCAAAGATGGCTGTAAAAAATAAATCTGCATTGTTTATCCTTTCGATATTTTATTTTTTTAAAATGCAAAAATCTAACCCTTTATTGGAGGGGGGGGGGGGGGGATCACACTATGAATAAGTGTGCCTGATAAGTTTAGCATCTGATAAGAACATTCCTTCTTACAGAATCTCCAAACATGGCCTGTTATAAGATTTCTAGCAGAGGTTGTCAGGTTTTGATTTTTTAATCTGTTGGTATTTGATGCCATGTATCTGAACAAGATGTCCAAGACCTAAATCAGGCCCACAGCATTAAAGATAGTGTCCCACTAGTTGCATTGTGTTTCTTACATGAAGTTAAAGGAGTACTTCACTTTAAAAAAAAAAAAAAAAACTTTTGCTGATAATTTACTCAACCCCATGTCATCCGAGATGTCCATGTCATTCTTTCTTCAGTAGAAAAGAAATTAAGGTTTTTGATGAAAACATTCCAGTATTTTCTCCATATAATGGACTTTACTGGGTATCAAACAGTTCAAGGTCCAAAAGACAGTTTCATTACAAACTGCAAACTGTTCAAATGGCTTTAAACGATTCCAGACGATGAATAAGGGTCTTATCAAGCGAAACGATCGCTCATTAAAAAAATAAATAACTAAGTTTAAGTCTTATAAGCACAAATGTTCGCCTTGCTCTGTTCTGTGATCCGCGTTCGTGACTCTCCTGTTCGAACTCGTTGATCAAAATGAACAAATCTTTTTTCGAGTCATTTGGTTGATTCAATGAACGAATTGATTCGGAAAAAGATTTGTTCATAAGTTTTCAGAAGTTTTTGAAGTGAACTACTCCTTTAAAGTGGTTAGTCGTGTTGCTCTGCTCACTCTCACTGCAGATGAAGTGTTTAACGGTTAGTTTGAACTCGATCTCTCAGGCTGTAAGCGGCTGGAGTACGGAGGCTGCTCGTGGCACGAGGAATGTTTTGTGTGTTGCGGCTGTGAGAAGCCCATCGGCGGACAGTCGTTCATCCCAGATAAGGACGAGTTTTACTGTGTGCCCTGTTACGAGGGACGATTCTCCCCCCGCTGCGCCCACTGCAAACAGGTGAGAGGAAAACTGACACTCTTAAAAATAAACGATGATTCCTGAAGAACCTTTAACATTCATAAAACCTTTCCATTGTGCAAAAGGTTATTTATAGTGGAAAAAGGCTATTATAATATTCTTCACATTAATAAAAAGTTATTTTAAGGTAAAAACAATTTTTCATGCACAGGTCAATTTTGAGATTTTAGCCTTTTTGGCTTTTCATTACGTGTTGTTTAAGAACAGTGGAAAACAAACATCCAAAATACACTTTTAAGTGTTTATTTAATAGTACTTTACCTGAAAATTTCAAATACAAATCAAATCTTTAAAAGTTGCTTTTTTTTTTCTCCAGTTTAGCACATACACCAAATATGACAATTTTATTCATATCTATATTCTGAAGGTTTTCACTGAGGGGTTTGTTCATATATCATTTGCCCTAATACTATGCAACAATTTACTCTTAAAAACTTGGTGAAAATGTATTTATTGACAGTATTTGCTGATGTATGGAGTGATAAAAAGAGAAACCTAAATCCCCGCTCGATCTAAAAACCTTTAATTCTAATGTCAACAAAATGAAACAAGTGAGTGAATAGCAAATGAGTGCTTTATGCAAATGAGTGAATAGCTAATTATATAATGCATCATTTGCATATTTATTTAAACAATATTTCTGAACACGTACAAAAATGTTAAGAATTCTTAATGTATTTAATCAACTCAGAAAGTATAGTGATATTTATTATAGGTATTTTTTACCATATTTATGTCTTGCCTTCAAAATTGTTACGTAAAAATGTGTAAAAAAAATTTTGTTTTAAGAGTGCAAACTACACATATCTGAAGATTCATCTAAATATTGAGTATTTTTGCTTGTACTTCATTGTCAACCTCTGTAAGTTGTATGCTGACAGTGTTTCTGCTGGTGTCGTCTCTTACAGATCCTGGTTCAGGGTGGCGTCACGTACAGAGACGAGCCCTGGCATAAAGAATGTTTCTTGTGTTCGGGTTGTAAAGTCCAGCTGGCCGGACAGCCTTTCACAACGCAGGGTGAAGATCCGTTCTGTGTGAAGTGCTTCAGTAACCTGTACGCCCAAAAGTGTGTCGCCTGCGACAAACCCATCACAGGTCAGTGTGTGTTAATGTGTCCTTCATTAGCAGTTCCTTCAGCTGATAACAGAGACAAGAGACCGTTGTCACATAAACAGGGTCGTGACAGGCACTATTTAAAATTTCTCTGAATTTACAAATTCTTGGAAAACATTTAGGATATTGTAAGTACACAATTGAAAGAAATATAAAACATTGTGCAAGTGGTTTTTGGATATTTTGATTTAAAATTCTTTAACACATTGTGCCATACTTTTACAGACTTAGTGTCATTATCAATGTTTATGAACAATTTAAATGATGCTCATTTGAAATGATGATAATGTTGTTTTAGAGATTTTGAAAACTCCTCTCCATCTTGTTGTCAGGTTTTGGAGAAGGGAAGTACGTGTCGTTTGAGGATCGTCAGTGGCATCAGTCGTGTTTTAAGTGTTCTGAGTGTTCGGTGTCTCTGGTCGGCGCTGGATTCTTCCCCGACGGGACAAAGATTCTCTGCAAAAGCTGCAATGCCAAATAATTCAAAACTGCTTCTGTAGATGTGCTGAAGAACAGACCGTTGTGTAATTGCAAAACATTTATGAAACGTTTGACATCATTTATACATGTATAATGTACATCAAAGTTTAGGTTACATTCTCCCAAATCTGTATGTTAAAAATCTCAATTAAATGTATGGTTACACTTTATATTAAGGTGTCATTGTTACAGTGTAATTATATATTTAAGTATGGAGTCATATTAAGTAACTACATGTACTTACTATTGGAGTAAACTAGGATTAGGATTTTGGTTGAGGGTTAATTGCATGTAATTATGCATAATTTACAGTTATTACTATGGTAAGTACATGTAACATATGTAGCAAGGGCATTGTATAATAAAGTGTTACCAAATGTATTTGATGGTTTATATGATAAACTCAAATCATTTGAACTGAATGTGTTTCATGCCAAAGTGTTTTGATTTTACGGTTGAGTCATTTTCCATGTGTTTGCATTAACATCAGGCCTTTAAATTTCCATCCAACAGCAACATTCCTCAATGAAATTTACATTTGAACAAAACACACACTGAGTGTTAATATGTGAGGTGTGTTCAGTGAGAGAGGATTGAATCATAATGATGCTTTAGAATCTGGACAGAAAATATTGCTTGTAAATGTTCCAGTGCACTATTTAAATGCACATGCATTGGTGTTTTATCCGTTCATTTTTAATAACTCTCACATGAAATATTCACATATTAATAATGATATAACAGGTGGCTTCCAAATTGTTTTTCAGAATAATACTTTTAACTTTGTTTTTAAATGTTTGATGTATTTTTACATGAATGTTTTCTGTAAAACTGCTTGTGTGTTGTGTTGTCCTTTCATAAAATGTTTGTAACATAAACAACAACTTTCAAATATCATTTGAGGTTTGGTCAAATTATGTTTTCTCTTGAAAAAAAATTAATGTGTCTATACATTTCTGACACAAAATGTCTGATACAATATGCAAAGTTTATGGAAATCCTGCATATATAACTATAACACCCTAACATCACCTAACACTATAATGTTAGTAATTATAATAATAATAGTAATTAATTATATAATGTATGTATTTTTTCCTACTATGGTAGTCAATGGGGAATGAGATCTGTTTGATTAAAACATTCTTCCAAATATCTTCCTTTGTGTTCAGCTAGAGGTTTGGAACAACATGAGGGTGAGTAAATACTGACAGAATTTTCATTTTTGGGTGAACTAACCCTTTAACGTAACCCAGTTATTTGTGGAAACTATTTACATAAAAAAAATTAAGTAAAGGCAACATTTTTTTTTGAGTGTATGAACATAGTTATATTATCTATAATATCTGTATTTTCTGATTTTAAACTATATAGCGCCACCTAGTGGACATTATCTACAATAACGCTGTAGCACAGGGGCCTCAGTGTCTTAAAGGGATAGTTCACACAGAAATTAAAATTCTGTCATCATTTACTCGCACCAAACCTGTATAAGTTTCTTTACTGGTTTACTTCAGAGATAAAGTCATCAACTCCTTCTCTCAGGACACAGAACAATGTTAAAAGAACAGAATATATGACTAGTTTTCTATAATTATTATTTATTTATTTTTTCAAAATGATGACCTATTGTATCACTAACTACTGCAAAAAGCAGCTGTCCTCAATATATATATATATATATATATATATATATATATATATATATATATGAAGAGTTCAGATGCAAAAGCCTCTAAATGCCATTTGAAATTTTCTTCTAAAATGACCATTTTTATCAAGCTTGTATATTTAAGTTCAGTAATTTCACTTAAATGACATTTAATAGGTAATCTTCAGTGCCATTTAAGTGAAATTACTGAACTTAAATATACAAGCTTGATAAAAATGATCATTTTAGAAGAAAATTTCAAATGGCACTTAGAGGCTTTTGCATCTGAACTCTTCATATATATATATATATATAGTCACCTTTAATAAAATAATCTCTATGTCCTGAAAATATATTTTTATAAGGTTTCATTTTTGTATCTCCAATTCATATCAGCACCATCAGTTTTTTTAGCAGTTAATCTGAAGTGTGCTGAAATTTGTCTAGTATTCTATTCTTATGGTTAAACAATATTTTTACCATGGGATAAACATTTGACTTGGTACCTTGGTAATAAACCTACAATGCTTCTTTCTTTTTTTTTATCATAATACCATGGTGATTTTTTTAGGTATACATTGAAGATCCATAGTGTTGTGTATGAATAAGGTAATCATGCATAAGGAATTATCATCTGGTTTAGCAAAGTATTATCACAGATCATTTGAACAGAAATGGTAGAAACAGCTTTGATATAATTTATCATAGTTTGGTTTATTTTGATGTAAAAAGAAGAGACACTTTTACTTTGTCAAGTTTAGATGGGAGAAAACAATGACATTAATAATTATGAAAAGTTGAATAAAAATTGTTTAACAAGCATTATATAGTTAATTATAACTTGCAATTATAGAAGTTATAGATTTTAACAATAAAAGGAGATGCAAAATAGTTTGTTTTTAATTATATGCTTTCTTTGTGTATTTCATATTAGGGGACTAAATTCATTGATTGTGTTTGACAGGTGTGATGATCAGTGGAGTTGAGTTTTTATCTCCATCATTACGGCCTGGGCAAAAATATGGATAGAGTTTCTCAGTGAAAGACTGATGAGTGTAAGAGTAGAGATGAGAGCTGGACTCCACATCATAAAAGGAGACCAGACCCTCCTCATAATCCACAAACACACCGACCCGCTGCGGCTTCACTCTCACACACAGAGAGACACGAGGATCAGCACAGGCTTTATATTCATTCCCATTCCTCAGCCACACAGTCCAGCATCCATTACTGGGATTCAGTGTGATATCTCCCTTCCTGTTAATGGATTCTCTGACCACTCCTAAATCCCATTCAGTCTTTCCCTTCACCTGCACCTCAAAATAAAATCTCCCTGAGGAGAATCCCTCCTTTCCCAGGACAAGTATATATCTATCAAATCTCTGTGGTGTGTCTGGGAGTTTCTGTCTAATGTCTCCACATCTCACTTGTTTTCCATCATCAGACAGGATGAGATATGGATTAGCTGTATCAGGATCCAGAGTCACATCCACTGAGAAAACAGACAATATGAATCACAGACTTTAGTGCTGATGTGTGTAATATGTAATGAGTGTGTAATCATACTGTAGCTGTGAGTATCGGGGGAGTGAGTATTACACCCCTAATCGGGGAGATCGAGCTTTCTCAGTCGTGGCCCCTAGGCTGTGGAATGATTTGCCTATTTGTGTTAGGGTAGCCCCCAGGGTTGAGACTTTTAAATCACGACTTAAAACTCAGCTTTATTCATTGGCTTTTAAACCAGACTGAGAGTAAATCTGCTTTTTGTTTTGTTTTGTCTTGTCACTGGTTAATTGTGTCTTGTGCTTTTGTCATGTGTTTTAAAATTTTGTCTGGAATTATTTCAGTGTTCAGCACTTTGGCAAACCACAGTTGTTTTAAATGTGCTTTACAAATAAAATTGTATTGTATTGTATCTGAATGTAATCTAGTGTAGGTCAGACACACACTGTACCTGCATACTGCTGTATCCTCTTCAGTTCTGTAGAGACACACGACAATAAAACATCAGCAGATCTTTCACATGTTTATGTGTGCAATTAAAGACAAGATTTAAGGTTATATTTAAAGAATTATGAACAACATCATGTTTCATCTGATCAATGTCTCTCTGCTGATATTTAGAGAATCCCTGAACTCCTTATTGTGTTTGAGCTCGAAATATTCCTCCTTTTTAGAACATATTTGGGTTTTGTGAAGTTTTTATGCCTAAAGTTATTCATCTCAGTTTTGTAATGATTAGTGTAGTGGTTATTTAGCAAAGACAACACTATAAAAAATAAAGGAAAGCACAGCACTTCAAAACTGTTTGAACTACAGGTCAGAAATTTCCCTCTAAAAAAGAACATTAGCATCTTAAATTCATGATGTGTACCAATTAGCTTTTCTTCTGCTGAACTTATTTTATCTGAAACATAATCACAACATTTAGATCAAACAAAAAGACCAACAGAAAATGGCAGAAAACTAATGTTTATTTTTGTTGTTTCTCATGTAAAAGTGTTCACTGATGCACTAAAGCCTCAATGAATTTACTGCATGTTTTCTGAGATTAGAGATGAATATGACCTGCTCTCTTCAAGAAGAACTGATGATAATGAGAGATAATGAGACAAACACATGATCACACACTTCTCTTATTTCAGCTTGACCAGACTCATTCTTCATTACTGATATATAAAGATGATAAATATATGTATCTGTACGGTGTGTTTGATATTGCTGTACCAGTGTGTGTGAGTTTCTCCTGTAGAGAGTCCTGCAGTTTAGTCAGAGCTGTCCTCAGAGTCTCCAGACTCTCATCAGTCTTCACACTGATCTCAGACCAGTTCCTGGTGTTTCTGGAGCTGCACAGGGACGAGTAAATCTACAGCAGGAGAGAGAGGAGAAATCCTTCAGCATGGGGAGTGTTCTGGTGTCATTATCATTGATCAGAGAGATGTTGACTGACCTGTAGGAGGTGGAGGTGATCTTCAGTGTGTGAGAGCTGCTCCAGCTCAGTGTTTCTCATCTTTAGCTCAGTGATCTCCTGCTCCAGCTCTTCAATGAGCTCTTCCTCCTGTTTCTCTGCTGCTTTCTGCTGCTCCTCCATCATCTCCAGCAGTTCAGTCTGACATCTCTCAATGGAGCGGATGAGATCAGTCAAGAGCTCCACACGGGCTGCTTTCTCCTTCTCTGTGTTTCTCTGATCAACCAGGACAATTAATTAATTATTTGCTGTATTGTGGGCATGATGCACAGTTCATATGTGTAAATTCATGTGTCCAGCAAGCAAGCAACCACTCACTTTTCTGACTTCTGCTGAGTGTTTGACGTCTTGAATCTTCTCGAATCTGTCCTGGATCTTCTGCTGTGTGTCTTGAATAATCAACTGAGTCTATGAACAGAGAATATTTGATTGATGGAAGGACATGAGGGTAAGTATAAATGACAATTTTAATTTATATGTGAAATATTTTAGCATTGTTAGTACTTCATACTCACTTCTTCTAAATAAACAGTGTTGTGGTTCTTGTGATCTCCGTCAGTGCAGGACACACACACGATAGTCTGATCATCTAAACAGAACAGCTCCAGAGGTCTCTCGTGTTTCTGACATATATAGTCCTCCAGATTACTCACAGGATTGATCAGTTTGTGTTTCTTTAAACCTGCCAATCTCAGATGACGCTCCAGGTGAGTTTCACAGTAAGAGATCTGACACACCAGACACGACTTCAGGGCTTTCTGCTTTCTGTCCTCACAGACGTCACACACAACTTCAGCTTTTTTCACAACTTCAGCTTTTTTCACAACTTCAGCTTTTTTCACAACTTCAGCTTTTTTCTCAGGACTTTTCTTTTTATAGTGATCTGCGATCTCTCGGAGTGTGGTGTTAATCTTGAGATCAGGTCTGTGCTTGAATGTTTGTTTACAATATGGACAGTTGCAGGTCTGGCTGTTGTCCCAGCACTTATTCAGACAGGTCTTGCAGAAGTTGTGTCCACATGGAGTGCTGACTGGATCAGTGAACGCATCCAGACATATCGAGCACTGAAGCTCCTCAGTCAGTGGACCGCTGGAGGAAGACATCGCTGGAGAGAGAATTAATTAAGATTATTATAATTAATCTATTTAAGATTAAAAATTAAGATTAATCACCTACACAAGTGTAAAGTCAAAATCTTGTTGAGAGAATGTCCAGAATGTGCAGAGATTTATTCTAAACAATGAGTTATTTTCAAGATAAAATATGAGAGATTTAAGTGGATTATTGACTCACATGGAGGATCAATCATACTCCCTCTCCTTTCTCGTTTTTCTGTTGATGGTGGGAAAGATTCTGCCATTGTTCTTCACCTCTTTATGAGGAAAAGAAAACAACAACAGAATAATCTTAAATAGGAAATAATGTCTACATTAAAGGACAATAACCTTTCCCCCAACATTAACATATATTTTGTACGGCCAAGAGACATTTAATTTTGATATAAGTAAATGTGATTTTCAGCTGCAGTGTTTTTCAAATGAAATAGTTGATAAAAACTATTAACAAATTGTAGTAACAATTATGATACCATTTCAGCCTAGTAAACATTTTTTTGTAGGAGAAAAATTACTTTCAAACTGTGTGTTCATAAAAAACTAAACATTTGCTGTTTTTATTAAACGCAAACTATATTAATTTAAACTTTTTATATATATATATATATTCTGACAAAAAAATGTATTCCCACTGTTACGAATAAAGGCGATTACACGAGATGCGACTTTGGGTGTCTCTGGCCGTTTCTCAATATGCGTACTTGTCTGTACTTGTGTTCTTGTGGACTTGTGAAACGTCATCAGTCGCTGCCAAAGTACTGTTCCAATTCAAAATTCGCATCTAGCCAAGTCCACTTCAAATCCCCGGATGTGTTCTTGATCCGCCCCGTTCACCGAGGATGCATAGAGAGGTAGTCTCGCGTAGCCAGACCTTCAGACTGACGGCTGAAGGTCTGGAATTCATAGCAGCTTTCTTTGGCCAAGGCCCGCCCATAAGGCCGTTTGACCGACATGTCAAACAACCAATTACAGTTCGTTTCATTCAGTGTCACGTTTCGGGGCGTGGAAATGTCCCCACAACATCAGACCGGCGTGCAACAAGTCAGTCAGACTCAGCAGCAGTCACCGGAGGCGCTCGTTAACAACGGTCCGCGTTATTAAATTCACCCACAAACTCGCGCTCATGTCCATCTTATGCCCGCTTTGTCACACGGCCAGTTCAACCTCGTATAAATCAGGTTATGTGTGTAAATCACGTGCTCACGATCGCTCACTCAGACACACTGTACCCGGCGCTGCTTGTGCGTCACAGTTATGTTCATAAAGCGCTCCCCGTTCACAGTAACCGGCTCGTCTCATTCAAAACAGCCAGCTGTAACGTTAGCTGTCAGCGAGCCGCCGCACATTGAATACTCGCAGTCAAACGTTTGACTCTGCAGTATCTTATGCACCTTATAATCCAGTGTGCGCATATATGAATACTGAATCGGCCAGCTGCGATGTCAGCGTCTGTTGTTTCATGTTTGCCCACAAACGCGGCTGATATCCCCTTCGCAATTAAGTACTTCACTTGATCTTCCATAATCGATAGGAGGGGACATACAACTACGTTTAGCTGATCTTGATTAATGCTCATTGTCGCTCATAAACTCAACAGTTTTTCTTCCGCAATCACACTTCTGCGCTTTGTTTCCCGGCGGACCGAAAATAAACGCGACACTGACGCCCCCCGGAAATCCGATAAAATTCAACCAATCAGATGACGACTTCGACATTCCTGAAGTGTTTCCAGTTAAGTGTACCATATGCATCAGACGTTTAGCCAACGTTCCGTGGGCGTGACGTCTGAGGCTGAGACTAATAGAGAGGTGACTTGTGTGGACTTGAGTTAGCTAGGTAACCCAGAATGCACCTCGCACCAACCAGCAAGCGTCAATAGGAGAGGAGAAAATCCACGAAATATCAAAATCTTACTGTTATTGAGTCATGAAATGTAATTTTAAGAGTGTTTCAGGCGAGAATGTGGTTGTTTAAATCTCAAATCTGTAGTTTATTTATAAAGATAGCGCCTATATCTGTAAAATGCATCTGACGTTTTCGGAGTTCTGACATCCAAGCCTTCAGCGGACACTCAGCGAGATCAACCCCGACCGGAACAGCTTATCCTCGGCTAGTGCTTCTGACGTTTGCCGCCGGCTCTGATCTCTCTAGTCTAGTGGATAAACCTTCACGTATAATTCGTCTTGTGTATAAGTCTATCTTTGGTCTCATTAAACTATAGTTTGTTCCATGGCGCAAAAAAAAAAAAAAAAAGTTTTTAAGGTTTCATGGCTATTTAACTTCAACAACTTTTTTTTTTATAGTTATCACTATATGAACAATAAAATAAAATGACATAACCCTGTCTCTGTTTGATAAATCTCAATTAAAATTCAATGTTTTAATATTTTTTAAATGAAAACAAAAAGATCATGTTCATATGCAGTGAAGAGAATCGCGTTGCCTGATCCACATGGCCATGGCTAATGGGCTATGTTGTTTTTTGTTAATGAAGAGTCAGAGGGGTGTTTTATAACATATTTCGTTTTATTGTTGACGAAAAGATGCAGAGTTGTAGCAAATTTCGTTTTATTGTTGCCTAAAATATAGAGTAGAGCGTGCTGAGTGACGCGATCAAGTACGCTCTGTTCCATTTGCAGAAGAACCGGACTTGCGTCCTCGCATCCTCGGGAGTTCGTTCTCCGGAGTCGAACTTGGCTTGCAAGTCTGAACTACCAAGGACGCAAGTCCGAAGTCTGCGTACTTGGTATTGTGTTTCTTCGTGTTTCTGCCGTGTTACTTTCTCTTTCGCAGAGAAGCGCTGATTGGTTGTCCTGGTTACGGTCAGTGGCTGATCCCTGAGGCTTGTCATCAGCCTTTTATTTTGTGAACTGCAACCGTGTGCTGAGTCCTTTGTTAGGTTATGTTTTTGTTGACATTCGTTTGATTATTGAATTAGTTCGTTTATATTACGTTTGTCATGTGAATTAGAGTGTCTTAAACCTGAACTCCTTTACTCATTATGTGAACTTGAGTAATGATACTTTATTAAAAGTGGGATAAAAGAAAAGGGTCAGGTAAGATGTCACGTGACATACATTGCGCACATGTAGTTTTTTTCTTTGTTTAAAAACACTAGATTTAGGGACAAGTGCCACTGTTGTATTTTTGTTTTGTTTAGTTAGTGTAGGGAAGTATATGACGTTGAAGATCTTTCTTTTCTACATTTTATTTTTTATTAGTTAGGTTAGATTAAATTCGGGTAAGAAAGATTGTTTTCTTTTTATTAATTTCTTTGAGTTGGCACTGTCCAGTTGCCCTTTTCCTTTCCCAGAATGAATACATAATTTTCTGGTATGTTTATGTTACTTTATCGATTGGTTAATATTTGTTTGAATTGTTTCTTCATGAAAATATGTGTGCTGTACTGTACACATATTTTATGGAGAGCTATTTTGACCGGTTGTGGCCAGTAATAATAAAATAAACCCTTGGCTTAAATATTCTACTGCCTTTGGTTTCACTCACTCACTTCCCAGTGTTTCTTTAGTAGTTGTCGAGGGATGATTAATGTTCCCCTTCTAAATCCCTTGACGGCTAAAAACTAAGAAGGGTCGTAACACCCACAAAAACACTGACTTTTTGTTATCAAATTAGACCAATCTACATCTTCATGAAACTGACCCTAAAAAGTTATGAACAGTCTTAAAGAAAAACATTTGATTAACTTGTAAGACTAGTCTAAACAGATTATGCAAACGGAGCCTGGTTTTGTTCAACTTATGTTTGACATTAACCTACTAAACCAGATCGCTTCCATTAAACCTGTTCAGCACAATTTCTCTTATATTTCCATCTCTTACCTGTGAGTATCAGATGTGTCCACAACACTCTTTGAACTGTAAATATTCTGTTGTTTAAAGAGGTTGATCGATTCTGGCGACCATTTTGCTGTCGATCAAGTCAGTTTCACTTTCTCTCTGAATCTCTCTCTCTGAACTAGTGATGTCAGAGCTTCTCCTGTATTCACACATTCACATTTGTCCCTGTATTCGGTGTGTTGGGTTTATGTGTTTATTAGTATTGTGACTAATGTTTCTGTCAGGTCCTGAAAAAGAAAAATTGCAGACTTACAAAAGCTTGATTGTTTGGTGATATATGTGAAGAGTTTCCAGGACAAACGCTGCTCAACTTACAGATGTTTCATAAAGTCCTAAGGATTGTTAGACAATCTGATCATATATCTAATGCTCATATATCTGATGTTTTATGAGACGGGTATGTCACTCTCGTATAGAAACAGGCTTCAGTCGATCTGTTCTGAGAAACACTACTATGATATTTCAAAATCCAAGTTAAAAGATTTAAAATGTCTCAAAGAAAAGCAGCAATAAACCGAGTTTCTCAACATGAAGATTAATCTCAGTGTTTGAACAAATAATATTACTAGTTTTAATCAATTCATCAATATGCTTACAGACAAAATTATTTTAAATTGAGGAATTGGCCATCAAACAACATATTGTCTTATTTCAGTTTTATTCAAAACAAGATGGTAAAAAAAAAAAAAAAAATGACATGACCAACTTTTTACATCAGCTACACATTTAACAAAAGTGATGTATATCCAAAAGCAGGAGCAAAGGTTTGGATCCACTGATGCATCATCCATGTAACATCATAAATAAAAAGATTCCAGCTTTATGAGCAGTTCTGGAACCTCATGTTTGCAATACATATCATGCAATAACAGAATCTGAATCCAATAGAGACTATAATTCACATGAGAGCTTCACTACGGTCAGGGAAAGTGTGTGTGTGAGTGTGAATGTCTGTAAGAGACTGAGGGGATCCGTTAGGCCGAGTAATCCTGCAGAAACACACAAATCACACTATTACATTCTGGATAAAAAGTGAAAATGAGTGAAAACTTAAATTCTGATTGAAGAAAGATTAAAAAAAGATTTTTCAATATATTAAACAGCAAGATAATATCAGATTATACAAATACTGTTGTCACTGATTGGTCTGTAGTGACTTTTTGTAGACATTTACATGTGTACAAGAGAAGTACATCTGAACTTACTGCTCTGGGTTTCTTGTTCATCTTCATGTCAAATCTGTGGAGACAACAAATAAACTCTATCATGGCCAGATCAACTAATGAACACTTTTAAAACCCTGCATGCAACTAACTAAAAACCCAACATGACTATGAACTCCACAAGCATGCAGCTGAAAAATAAATGCAAAACTGCAGCAACATCTGTGAATGATGAGGCAGAAGCAAGCAGCACAGCATTCATCCACGCGACGCGGACGGCCCTACACAGCCAACGGACAGAAGACACGGGACTGAGAAACAGGAAGTAAAATTGAGACTTACTCAAAGTCATAATCAAACATGCCAGAGGGGCTGAAGGGGGCAGCGTTAGGAAGGAAGAGCAGAGGTTAGTGCACTAGACGACCACATCAATCCCACAGTGGACTAGATAGGGTGTCAACACTTGGGTTTATAAAGCATCCTCTACAGGGCATCAGTGAATATCAGACCCTAACTAGTGCTCATCTCATATAAAGTGTATTGATCCTGGATGCAAACATCATCTGCTCCAAGGCAAACCACACATGATAAAATCAACATTTGCCAACATGTTTGTGGATTAATGACAGGATTATATCAGCAAATTTTTGAACATTAAAAAAAATTTTTTTTTTTATTATACAGTCCGACTGACAAGATTTACCCATTAAAGTCACATTTGAGATTAATTTTAGACCCAGTTAATATCAAACCTTCCAATCCATATATTTTTCCAAAAATCATCTATAAATACAGCACGAAAATGGGCTGTGCATACTCAAACTAGCTTCTCAAAATCTTCCCTCTGTCCATCTAATACAAACACATCTTCAAACCGTTTCATTTGAGTGTTTCATTCTCTAATCAAACCGGCCTCTTATATGTCTGTCCTGGACCAGAACAGCGTTAGATAAGCATTAGGACCGAGAAAGAGTCTTTAGGCCAAATCCATAAGAGAGGAAAGAACAAAAGTAAAAGAACAGAAAGGAAAGAACAAAAATGAAGTAAACCCCTCCCATTTGGGAAAAGAGGCGTGGCTATCATAATCATCAGTGACTATGTCAATTTATAACTGCTCCCACATCCACTCAGATGTGTCCAAAAGACATTACATCAAACATTTCACTGCCTGTTCTGAAATAGCACTGGATCATGAGGTCATAAATAAATTACCATCTAATATCCTGGACCCCAAGGGCATGCTGGAGATCAGGTACCTGTGTCTGTTCTTGTTCTTGCGTTTCTTGTGGCTGTTGTGGTGGCTTCCAGAGGAAGATGAAGCGGCTTTCTGGGGTTTCAGGTCCTGTAGGGCTCCGTCTGCCTCCTCGGTGTCTTCCTGACTGGGTTCGTTTTCCTGGTTTTGGAGGTCCGGGGACGTGTCGCTCTCTGTTCCGCTTCCTGGCTCGCCTATAGGAGAAGAAGAAAAGGAAAGTTTGCAGACATAAAGTGATTAACACAACAGGCCATAATCAAATTATAAATCTTGCAAAATAATCGTCAAATTGGCTGTTTCTCTTAAAGGTAGTGATGTTACATATGACACTGAAGCTTCAAAGCGTGTATCGAGTACGCAGAACATTTGCTCATGAAGCTTTTTTATGTTTTATGAGTAGTAGAATATACATATTCATCCGAAGCACAACCACAACAATGTTCTTCAGCAAAACGCATGATGGTCAAAAGTTCCATAGTGTAGCTGTAGGTGTGTTCGAGGTGAAACTCTGAATTAGTGTTGTCACGATACCAAAATTATTGTTTCGATACCGATACCAAGTCAAGAATCGCGATTTCGATACTTTTTCAATACTCACGTTTTTCATTCATATGATCAGGAATCCCTCCAAGAGCACAAACAGCCTGTAAGACATTCTTTTTTCAGCATTGTTTCATAATTAATAATCCTTATTTCTTATTATATATTTCTAAAACACTGACCGCCACTGATGTGACAGAGGATTTGCTGAAAAGACGTTCAGCTTCCTTGAACTTCCTGTTTCTCCGATCAGTCTTGCTGTTGGAATTCCTGAAGCAGAAGAAAGCTGATGCTGACCTGTAAGCCTTTAAGATTTATACATCATTAAACCACATGATGTCACTTCACACTCACTTTTGATTGGTCAGATATCGGTCCCATCCTCGAATGATGTTCCCGTACATCTGAGTGTCCTCCAGGTAACTGCCTTCAAATGCATAAATCTGTCTTTCCAGATTCACCAGAGTCTCCTGAGAAAAATACATGCAAAATCTGTATATACATATATAATTTTGCTGACTTTGTTTTAAACATAATGCTAAAATAAACACAAACATAATACTAAAATAAACACTAGAATATATATTCAGAATATATATATATATATAAATATATAAGTGTTCATTTTAGCATTATGCTAAAAACAAAGTCAGCAAAATTGCCGTTAATAATTTTAGCTGCATCTGTCAACAACCATACATGACCTAACGTTACACATGATCACATAGTAATAATATTTATTTCACTGTACAGTTCTACGTTCTTCGCTTATTTTTGAAACTGTAGAAAGTAAGCCTCAAGCTATGCACAAGTGGCATGTCTTTAATGCTGTATATCTGCAGTATGTTGTGCATCAGGAGGCGCCATAACAAAAGCGGCTAATACAGTTAGCATCTTAACATAAATATACAAGATATACAGCAATCACAAAATGGAGTCGTTTTGATATATGAAGTACAAATATAACCTAAGACTATCTGATTATTAAATACAAACACACATGCATTAATTTTAAATAATGTATCTGTACAAGTCTATTTCAGTCTCGCGTTAGCATCCTTATCACAGATACGGGTATTCCAGTCAATATACGCATTACTTGGTGCCGGATCGAGATCGATTTTGGTGTTTTGAATATTTAGAAACGTGTATAATTACTGCAAGCTCTTGTTTTCTTTTGACCAGCTCGGAAAGCTCGCGGCGGGTATCGGGGATCTGCGGTGGAGTCGCTTTGGCGTGCATCGCCATGATGGAACTGAAATGCAGTGCTCAATGACCGAGAAGAGCTGAAGCGGATCATCACCTGCAGTTCTTTAAAAGTCCTCCAGTCCAACAGGGGGCGCTCGCTCCCCTCCAGAGCAGAATTCGAATAAAAAAAAAAATGAGCAAAAACGCGAAAACGCCAAACCTGTTGTGTAGTTCATTCAGGATTTTCTTATTTGATTTTTTTTTAAATAGCAGTTTTCTATTAAATCATGAGGCATGTGATTAACTTTAACTGAAAAGGTTTGTTTACCGTCGTCATCCCTATAAGTTTATTAAGTTATTTACGACTTTTTGGTTGGGTACGATCAGTTTTATGCCAGGGAAATGTAATAATAATATCCTGACAGTAGGTTTATTCAATTGAATCGCTAATAGTAATGTCAATTATAATATCTAAGAAATAACATTCGTGGGCGTTTCCATGTGACGTTCCTCTTTGACCAATGAAACACAGACACTAACGGGTAAGCCACGCCTTCGTGATGTTTTCATTTTGTGTTATTTTTCATTCTAGTCATATTACACTTCTATGTCTGTAGCTAAAAAACATTGAGCTCGCGTGTTCGCCCCGCTCAACAAGATCTCGCGCTTTCTCCCGCTTTTTTGACTTTCCCGTTATATCCAGTAGCCACCACCAAGGGGCGACAGAGTGTTTGTTATAAAAGCAACTAAGTTAGCCTTGCGTTTACAAAATGCAAAAGCCTGCCTTTTGGATAATATTTAGGGAGGACAATGGGGCGAAATTAAGACATTTTAAAACATATTTTAAATAGTTTGTTTTGCGATAGCAAAAATGAAATTCTGAACACACGGCGTGACGTTTACATGTTGCCATGGCAACAAAGAGTAAATCCGTCAGAAACTTTTGAGCGAGTTCACTTACAACAGCATGAAAACAAGAGCACAGGCTCGATGTTTAAACCGACTGTTGATTATTAAATAAATACTTTTTTCTGTTTATTTTTTTCTTTCTCCCTCTACACATAAGAGGGAAGGGAACGGAAGTCATGGGTAAATTACACAAAGGACTGAATGAATGTGAGTGATTTAACTTACCTCAAGTGTCATTAGATCTGCTGAATAGTTTTTATTTTTCTGTATTTGTTCTTATTAACAGTCATGTATCTGTTTCTATAGTAGGTCAGGGATGTGCTGCTTCATCCATTCCAACCAAGTACCAGACAGTCATCATCAGTAATGAAGAGAAGAAAGGCTTTTCCTCACAGACAAAGAGGTTTCAGGATCACCTGGTGAGTTTCATAAATAATCCATCCAACTCTCCCACATTCAATTAAAAATAAAAATTCTAAATCACTATCTGTCTATCTGTCTGTCTATCTGTCTGTCTGTTTGTCTGTCTGTCTGTCTGTCTGTCTGTCTGTCTGTCTGTCTGTCTGTCTGTCTGTCTATCTATCTGTCGTTTGTCTATCTGTCTGTCTATCTATTTGTCTGTCTGTCTGTCTGTCTTTCTCTTTCTGTCTTGTCTGTCTGTCTATCTATCTATCTGTCTATCTGTGTGTCTGTCTATCTGCCTGCCTATCTGTCTGTCTGTCTGTCTGTCTGTCCGTCCGTCTGTCTGTCTGTCTGTCTGTCTGTCTGTCATTTCAGAATGAGAACCCAGGTCCTGGTTCATATGTCTCACACACAGCTGCTGAGGGATGCAGTCCTTCATTCTCTAAGAGAGGAACAGGCAGTTTTGCATCAAAAGTGAGACCCTGATCATCAGACAATTTAATTACCTTACATTACTGTAACCAGTGCTTGTGGAATCTGTTTTGTCATTATGTAAGGTCTTGAGTCTTAAACATTACAAATATACTTTTATTTTTTAGACATTAGGCATTTTATATTGTTTAATAGATTAATTCCTTGCAACTTTTTAAAATAAGGTATAATGAATTTAATGAATAATATCCCTGAATGTTTTTGCATCTCAAGGCTGGTCGTGTGGCCCGTAGCTTCCCGAGGTTACAGCCAGGACCTGATGCTTATAACCTGCAGACGTCTCTACTTTTCAAGCATGATTTCAACAGAGGAGAATCCAGAATGTTCCATCCGCCTCTTGCAGTAAAGAGGGAAACACAAAAGAGTGAAAATCCTGCACCAAATCAATACAATGTATGTGGTATCATTGATTACAGTAAATATTACTTTAGCAATTAATCCATCTTCAGTGTCACATGATCCTTCAGAAATCATTCTAATATGCTGATTTACTGCTCAAGAAACATTTATTATTAATAATGATAAAAAAACAGTTGATGTATTTTTTTTAAACATCTTTGCAGTGACTTTTGTTCAATTTAATATGTCTTTGCTAAATAGAAATATTACATTTTTTTAAATATCCTACTGTCTCTAAACTTTTAAATGGAAATTTATTTTATTTTTATTTTTTTGCTCTCAGGTGCTTTATAATGTCGTGAATAGAAATTCAACCGTTTCGGCTCAATGTGCATTTCTCTCCAAAACCAGACGAACTGCAACTTTAACGGACAACTTTAAAGGACCTTGTCCCTGTGAGTAACTCCCATTTTAGATGGGGATTGCACCAATAAAAATGTGCAATCCAAACTGTTACTGTAAAATGGTCAACAGTTCAGTAATTAAATCTGATGATAAAAGTAATATTATATTTGAAAGCATATGAATATTAGTGAGTGTTGTCAGGTTTTCAAGGTTGTGAATGTTCCTTTGCATGTTGTAATTACAGCCACTGTACAGTTGGAATTATGGGTTGTATTTTAAATTCAGTAGTGAAATGTGTATTAATTGGAAAATAAGAGATATGTGCTGCTGTAATCACAACCAAATATTGTAATGCTATTAATCTATTTATTCATATGTTTATGTTTAAAGCTATCGACTGTCAAACAACCGAAAGATATTCCAGATTATGTATCTTTCTATCTCTATCCTTCTTCTAAAGGCCACTATAAAGTGAGTGAGGTTTTGGTCCAGAAGACTCCTCTAGTTCCTATCTCCTGTTTTAAATCCACCACTGCCCGGATCCAGTCACCCGTGAGAAACAACATCCCCGGTCCCGGGACCTACAACCCCTATCAACCACCAGAACCTGTGAAGAGAACCGTTCTCCCGTAATTAAACTTAAACCAATCAAATACATTTTATTTTATGCTCTTAAAGTGACAGTTCACCCAAAAATGAAAATTCTGTCATTTACTCACCCTTTATTCCCAACCTGTGTAAATTTCTTTCTTCTGCTAAACACCAAAGAAGATATTTGCTAACACTTTAGTATGGGGAACACATATGCCTTTTACCACAATAAAATCCTGGTTTATTAATTATTAATAGGCTAGTTAGTAAGGAAGTTTTTGTAGCATTTAAGTTTAGGTATTAAGGGATGTAGAGTAAGGTCATGCAGAATAAGGCTTTAAAATGTGCTTTATAAGTACTAATAAACAGTCAACATGCATGCTAATAAGCAACTAATTAATAGTGATAATTGAACCTTAAAATAAAGTGTTTCCAGATATTTTGAAGAATGTCGGTAAACAAACAGTTGATGGACCCCATTGACTTCCATATTTTTGTCCCAAAACTAGTAAAGTCAGTGGGGTCCATCAACTGTTTAGTTACTGACATTCTTCAAAATATCTTCTTCACAGAAGAAAGAAATTCATACAGGTTTGGAACAACTTGAGTATAAGTAAATGATGAGAGAATTTTCATTTTGGGTGAACTATCCCTTTAAGAGCAACAATGCACTGGTGGAACGTCTACTATTATAGAATGACTTTTTGCCCATTTAAATATTGCTTGCAGAGAATTTCATCAGAATACACAGCTACTTTTGAATATATTTGACATAAAACAGCTGCTTTTATCATATATTTTTCATCATGATAGTCATGATATCTCAGATGTCTCATTCTTCACACTGGATTAGTCTGTTTTATGTTTGTCACATAAAATGATCAAATTTTTATCGCTATGCAGAAGGAGACACTACTTAGGATTATCAGCACCACCTCTGATACCCGCCAAAGACCCACCTTTCCCCGGCCCGGGACACTATGACATAGTGAACAACAATCCTTCAGCCAAACACCTCGTGTCCAGTGCCGCCTTCCTGTCCGGAACAAGCAGGTGGATACAGGAGGACAAAGGACAGGACATACCTGGTCCAGGTAACACTTACATCATCTCTGCTTCATTGAAAAATCAGGCTTTTACTTAATTTAGCTGGAGCTGGCTAAAAAGTTTAAACTTTTGATCATGGAACGATTTACTGAATATCCTAAATTTCCTCTTCCCAGGTTTCTATGAACCCACGGTCCTTTCAAAGGCATCGTTCTTGTATAATCCTGAAAAAATATGGATTCCTGCTTAAACAGCTTTAGTAAAGAATTGACTTAAGGATTTGAAGTGTGCTCTTATTTCATAAAATGTCAGCCCCAGTAAGATTATTATTTCTTCTTTTTCCTTATTGTGAATTATTATATCAAATTTTTACTATGACAGGTTAAAGGGATACTCCACCAGCTTGGTTGCTTATCTGCTCTAATGAATAAATTGGGCTAAGCTAAGTGCTAGAAAAGTTTCACCGTGCGATTAAGCACACGCACTAAGACATACGTATGAGAGGTATGTATCAACTTGTCTTAGTTAAGGGAATAATATAGTTTAACGGTGGAGTATCCCTTTAAGGGCTTTTCTAAATGTGTATCACTTTAATAAAACCATGTCTAGTAGCTTTTGAACTTCTAGCAGACATGTCTGCAGTCAGTGATCTGAACGAATCAAAGCATTCTCAGAAGTGTAGATCCGCTCCCGGTCTGACTCACGTCTGGACAGCTGAAAGTCAGCACACACGGCTGAGCTCCAAACCCTTGATCCCTCAGCAGCTGATCCTGGACCTGCTGGATGGTGAACATGATGCTGGGAGGGATGTGCTTGAGCTGATCCTGGATCAGTGGTGTAATGAGCAGCTGTTGTGGGACTAGAGGAGGGTGTGGAGGTCTGTGCTCATCTGAACAATGCCAAAATCTATGAGGGGATTTCAGACGCTCATGACTTGAAACTGTCCTCAATGACTTCTGGTCAAGGTCAACATTATGCATAAAATGATTCATCAGGGCTGTTTATTTTCTTTTTTAGATTATGATGTTGTAAGATTATTCGATTATGATTTTACAGTGTTTCCAACACGCTAATATACTCAGACTTTTAATGTTTTTGAAAGGCCTCGTCTGCTCACCAAAGCTGCATTTATTTAATAAAAAAATACAGTAAAAACAGTCATATTGTGAATTATTATTACAATTTAAAATAAGTGTTTATTAACTTAATAAATTGTAAAATATAATTTTCAGCATAATTTCTCCAGTCTTCAGTCACATGATCCTTCAGAAATCATTTTAATATAAAATGCTGCTCAAGAGACATTTCTTATTATTATCAATGTTGAAAACTGCTTCATATTTTTTATCAAAACCAAGATACATTTTTTAGTTTTTTTTTTTAGTTTTTCATTGTTTCTTTGATGAATAGAAAGTTCAAAAGATCAACATTTATTTGAAACAGAAATCTTTTGTAACATTATTAGTGTAACTTTTTTCATAAAAATATATTTATTTTAAACAAATTTTACTGACCCCAAACTTTTGAATAATAATCTATGTCTACATGCTAATGATTTTTAATGATAGTTATGAATAAATATTCTATAAATCTTAATTAATTTATTTATTTTTTTGAAAAATTTTAAAATAAGATCGTGTTGAATTTACATTAATTATTTAGTTTCATTCAGGGCTGTATTTAGACATTTTCATATCTGAAATTTTAATTTGTCTGTTTTTTCCCTATGCATATTTGTTGTAGGTGGTTGCTAGGTCATTGCTATGCGGTTGCTGGGTGAAATTGAGTGTGATGCTCTTCAGTTGCTAGGGTGGTTGCTAGGTGGTAACGAGCCACCCTCAAGTCTGACTCCAGTCCCTCCCTTAATGTAAGTCTGTGAGAAGTTTACACCCATTTTTACATCGGACAAAATTTGAAGTAATAGTTTAAAAACAAATATTAGCTCACCTTTCCTCAAATCAAGCTGGATTATTTGATGCGTCATTCTGTAGTCAATGCAAAACAAGTTTCTCACTGAATTTTAATTAGGGTTACTTCATGAGCTTTTAGTCTTTAGCAATAGCTAGCAAATGAGTACAGGGGCCGTGTTGCATGAACATAGCTATTATGTTGTGTCTTACTATTACTAGTATGACCAACTAGGTTAGTCAAGGGGTAATCAGTGTTACGTTCTAGTATCAAATTAGACCAATCTACATTTTTATGTACTGTAACTGACTTAAAACAGTTAATAACAGTCTTAAAGAAAAAATGTGATGACTAACTTTTAAGACTAGTCTTAGCTTTTTTGATACCGGCCCCAGATATTATCCCATTTGAAAGCCATTAAATAAGAATTTGCTTTTATAGAGCTTCGCTTCATTCATACTGGATCTAGCTGTTGAAATATTTGGAGTAATAAGAGTGCAGAAATGCAGAATGTTGTCCACCCATCCCGAATGTCGCCTGTTGGTGATATCTCAAACCCTGCAGCTGTTCGGACCACCCCCATCAGCAGCTGTGAATATGTCCAAATGCTGACCTCACCATTGTCTGATAAAGCTTCTCTTTATCTGCATATCATTCAGATTTCATAAACTGATCATAGCTGATAATGTGATGTGATGTTTTTGAGATGAACAATTTATTGACCGACATATTCTAAAAGGTCATTGTACATCACTAGTGAGGAGGGATCAGATCAGGTGAGGAGGGATCAGATCGGAGAGAATAGTTCACCTTTAAATTAAATGATGAACCTATAGGTTTTTGTTTGTTGAAAACACAATTGACTGAAGTGCTTACGGTTCAAAACACCTTAAGAATCAAATGCTTCAATATTAACAACTTCTTTAAATTGGGTTTCTTCAGAAGCACATTCAAAAACTCAATTTGATGCATCCCAATTCACACCGTTCCATTTTGTAGTATAAGGTAGTGTGAGCAGTAGTGTGTTCACAATGAAAATTCAAACAATTAGACGTGCACTTCATATACCTGGATGATGCATTTATTTAACCAGAAAAACAAAGTCAGGAATGTTGGACCCTTCATGCACTCAACATGTATGCTGTAGGCAGAGGGGGAGGAGCTAAGCTATCTAAATGTATACGAGTAGAGTATATAGTGCATAGTGTATGTAATTTGGGAGACAACATCAGATTTTCCCTTCTTATTAGTGACGATGGTGCATGCTAGTTGTTGAGTAGATCACAAAATACCTCAGATTTTATGTCTTTATTATGTAGTTCTGCCTCTCTTAGGTTTATTAGAAGAGAATTTTAATGTGAAATCTTTACACTGAACCCATATCAAACAAACTTGATTTATGTATTTAAGATGAATCACATTTGTAATGAGTCTGTTTTCTGGTTTGGAGGTGTCCAGTAAAGACTAACCTGACCGCATTCTCACCTATGACTCAACAAAGCCTCTTTTATCACATATGAGCTGTTCTCCATGACAGCGAGACATAACAGACGATTTTAGGAAGGGTACGCAATGAGTGCGTGATGACGCCGGATACACATCCCCAGGGTTTTGCGCTCTACAGATATCAATTGTTTAACTCATGACTGTTTGGATCTACATTTATCTCAGCATACCCGCAAGCATGCACTGAAAGCAGTCTGAGAAAACTCTCCGCATGACTGCGTTGCATGCGGTTTTTGACCTCTGTGTTATTTTTTAATGTCTGCTTTGACTGCATTCTGATGTATGCGTGTCTTTTGTATCCATTTGACTGTTTTTGTTTTGGAAATGTTGCTGACTCACACAAATGTAAGTGGTTTAATGCACTAGTGCTGGTATTGTTGGCTGGGTTATATACCAGATGGCTGATTTACTCCGTGCTGCTATAATGGCCTGATTTCAACTCTTAAATGCTCTAGTTAAAGTATTAAATAAGACCAGCCTCACATTTGCTTACACATGACCCAATCCAGTGGGAACCGTAATGACATTTCCAGCAGTCTCAGACTGTTGTGGTTGCAGTTAGATTGATCTTAGGGTCTTTGATTGGTGCTGTATTAATTATTATAATTTATGTCTTGGACTTGGTTGACTTTAGTGCATCTTTAACTGTAGTATTAGTAAGCAACATTTTTTTTTTAATCAAATCTAACTTAATATGATGTTTAATGTGTTTTAAGGGAAATAATAATGTTATCAGTTTGCTAGTTTCAAGGCAGACCTGGTCCTAATTTAAATACATCCAATATGTATTTATGAATATTAGTTAGTTCGAGTCGGCAACCGGCTTTTGATTTAAGAGCAATCTTTCTTGTTGTTTTTGGAGAACTAAATAAAAACTGACCTGTAGCTTTCATGTAAAAGAACTAAATGAGCAGCAACACATTTATTAGTATATTTAATAATATATTATAATCCCTTTTGAAACTAATGTTTTAGACACTGCCAACTCGCTCAACAACCTCTATCCAAAATTACTAATATTTTATATTATTATTATTAGTTGACTAAAATAGGCCATGATGTAAAATAGTGAACATTTTTATGGAACAATTGTTCAGCTAAATTCGCAAATTTATTATTATTTTTTTTCCCATCAAATACATTGCGTTTGCAGGCCCACCAGGTCATGGGATGATATGATCCTTATGACTTCTAAAATATGGGATCCGCTTCAGTTTTCCAGTGGGATGCATTCAGAGGACGTTGCCTCCATCCTTCTGCCGCAGATCTAGCTTTCAGAAACCAGGGGGAGCCATGCTGAAAAAAACGTCACACCTACCTTTTCTTTACAGCACCTGAGAAGCCTCTAGTATTTTACATCGATAATTAAAGCAAATGAGACATATAAAAACCAGATATCGTCTATATAAACATGAGTAGCCTTTTTAAACGTGCTAACTGTGTGTCAGTGTCCCCCACGCAGGTCAATGGTGCGGTCCAGTGGACAGGCAGAGACCGTCCCGGTCCCGCATAGAGAGGCTGTATTCGGCTAGCGGCTGCTGTGTGGTGGGCAGGGCCCAGGACCAGGGCCCCCCTCTTCTTCTGTCTTTAGTTTTCACCGCTGAGATCACACAAATCAGTGGGAATAGCGAATTTAACCAGTCCTCGATCGTTTTTCTCCTTTAATACAGCGCAACTGTTTGTCGCTGATCAGATTTAAAGGGCTACTGCATTCGGGTGTGTTCAGAACTGGGAGTTCCTCTTTTTACGCGTCTCTTTTGGACCCTGTAATGGAATGACTGACTAACAAACCATGAACAAAATGGAGAACAAGGCTCTAGAGAGCAGCTTTGAAGAAAAACTGACGCTGTCAGACCAAGGTATGTAGTTTACAATTAGAATTAAGAAATACGTACAAAATGTCCATGAAACCAACGCACGGGTTGTCAAAGGACGCACATTTCAGGGGAGTCTTCATATGTACGCATCATTTCTGTCATTTTATAGTGTTTATTTACTGTATGACCCTATTCATATGTTAAAGGTGGATGTTTTTATGTACCGCCTGTCATTAAGATAACGATAAAAGTAGCGGCCAGCTGCGCGTGACCTGGATAGCGGTTATTCGCATTTCTGTGAGGAAAATTTGACGTCTTATGTCAACGCTGTTAATTTGTTGTAGCTACCTAAAATGATTCTGACGATATGTTCGTCGTTTTGTTCATTTGATCCTCACTATATTTTCAGGAGAAACCCGTCAGTTCGTTTATACATTAAGAGGTTTCATATGTTTAGTACCGGTGTGCGCAAAAACATCCACGCGCACGTCTGTTTACCCTCTACCTGTCTATTACAGTAATTATCCAGGACCAAATGAAAGCTCACAGGTTTTCTTTGTTGCCAACATCATTATAAATATATTATTATGTAACGTTTGTAGCCTACAGTCTTATATCTATAACGTTGCTTCTCAAATAGACTAAATAATATTTAGACATATATTCATAGGCCTAATATCTTTTAAGAAGACAAAGATAGTTGTTGTTTTTTTATAATGTCTGTGTCAAATAACATCCCCAACTTGAATTTCATGTAGATCAATTTGGATAAATTTATAAAATAGAGAAATTAGTTTATAATTGTGCATTGGATCGTGTATTCTGTATAATTGTTATAGATCTGTGGTTTAAACTAATTAGGTGTGATTCGTGAACTACAGCTATTAGTTGTTTCATTTAACCTC